TAATAGTAACATTATGATTTTATTAGTGTTCTCTAATTGCAACCCTCCCTAAATGCACGCTCTAGAGCTGGTCCCGATGACTTGCATTTAGGGAGGTCTGACTGTAACGGTTTCGCCTGCACCTCTGGTCCTTGGTGTCCCTCTTAATTTCCGGGCCTGGGCACGTGAGATGCAGTTGCATTTGATTGATATAAACCCGATAATCTTATCAACCTTAAAGCAATGGCTAAGTTAAATTCAAGAGCTCAGAAACCAACTCCATACGTCCGTAGACTAAGATTGTAAATATTTCTACAAGTTTCTTTATAAGTTTCTTATCTAAATATGAAATTGCGATTGATACTTTGTTTAAAAATATATATATAGAAGTTGGACTTTGATAATAGTTAGCATTCCAGTATTTGTATCGTCTAGTTACGTACTTTATAAACGAGGCATGTAAACACGAAAAGTTGTCGTTTACTAATTTAAAATTTTAGTCAAAATTTTTTTTTAACATGTTACAATTTAAATAGTTTTTTTAGACCATAAAAAAATCGTACCAACAAAAAAACGGTCCACACAAGAATTAATTAAAGAATTAGAGTCTAAAGAATTTAAAGAGAAAGAGTCAAAATATGTATAATACAAATAAATACTTGGAATTCTATTAACAACATAAATTTTGATGATTTTGTAATATATATGCCTTGAATTAATAAAAAAGCTTTATGTTCAAAGATACATTATGTAAAATTTGCAATATACTGCAGATGCATTGATAATATCTAGGTTCAGTATTAAGTTAATTTTGAATTTCGAATATATAGCAACTATATTTGTAAATAGATTTCGTAAAACCTTTATAAATCCTGAAAAAAATGCCGATGACCGAATCGAAAAGTTACCAAGTTGAAATCAATAAATTACCAACTTCGAATGACATCAGAAAACTTATTGATTCGGTTATCAATGAATCATCCTTCGTGCAGTAGATTGTTAATCGGGTCAGAAAGTATATATCCTAGGATTTTTGGATGACAGTTTATTAATACATTTTTACATTTTCTTTTCTTTACGACCAAATGTTTTTGACAAAAAAAGTATGTACGACGTAAAGGTTCAACATCACATTAATGAAATTTTAAATGTAAATTGATTCCCAAGAAAAAGTTTACAAAAAAAATTAGATATTTACGAAAATCATGTGATGAGAAATTTCTTGGATGTGACTAATGGTTTTCAAAGTATACGTTAAACTATTCTAGTACACAAGTATTTTATAACAATTACCGCACTTGTTTTTGGAGCAAGATATTCTTTTTTCAATTTTTTCAAACAGCGTGAATCACACACATTCTTTTTAAGAATATGCTGTAAAATTGATACTTTGACCCGTAATATTATTACCTAAGCACACTTGACCGCAAGTCATTTCTGTAACAATATGCTTTCAAATATTGTTACTACAGAATAATTGAAAGAAATAAATTACTCGGATTTGAATCCTGCATCGTCCTTTAACGTTTATATAATGTATGTCCGTTTAATGCCACTTTTTGAACGCATATACTGTAAAAGTAACCACCTTTGATGAAGCCATTGATTCTCCATTAAACGAAAGCACAAAGTATATAAGTTATATAATAGATAATCACATTCATTCAATAGAGATGGAAAATTTTTAGTAAACAACGAAATGCATCACACTCGCGATTATGGATCGATAAATAGAATCTTAACATTCAATTGAAATTTTTTTTATCCATTGACAGTAAAACCATTTTATTGGCAAGAAATTCGAACTTTTCACCGAATATTTAAGAAACAATGACATTTCATATGTAAATGATGACATAGTCATCTAATTATTATAATATAATGTTTCTTTTTTTAAATTAGGGCTACGGATCAGCTCGGCTTGGAATTTCTCGGCTCACAAATGGCATGGAACTATCCTACTATAGAGCTAATCAACTTGGATATTATAAGCCGTTAGTCGAGCTAAGCCAGCCATTTGCATCCCTACGCCCGTTTGCCAATCTTCTTTTCTCTCCTTCTAACTAAATAGATATAAAAAAAAAAAAAAAAACACAATAAAACAAATAAACGAACCTAACAAATCAAAAAAAAATAAATAAATTAGATGACACATACCACTTTTTGAACTCTTGCCAACAATTCTGTCTGTCCTTTATTACTCATTTTACAATTTTCTATATTGTATGGTGGGTTGATAATCACCTCATCTAAAACTATGATTGATTCTTTATGCCATCTACATGGTAGTCTTTGAATAAAGAAAAAAAAAAAATTTTAATTATGGATAACTTATGAATAACTTATTGATAACATAATTTGTCAAAATAATGCTAAGATTAAATTTTATGAAAAGACGATATAATTTACATATATACTTATAAAGAAAGTTAATAATACTCACGTTTTGCTCATTGCATCAAAAATGTCCTGAGCTTCCTGTGTCACACCCACACCAATCCTTGCCAACGCAATTTGTGTATCCTTAATAGATTGTATTTCCTTTGCCTGAATCCTATCCATTTGTACATAACCCACTGAAGGAACGATTGTGGAAAAAACATTATTCATATTACTTTGACCATTTGTTGATTGTAAAGAATTTGTAGATGAATTAATGTTCGCATTGATATCAACAGAAGATTTACGATTAGGAAGTTGGGTCACATCTTTAAGAAAGTTAATTTTTAAAATTCGGAAATCATATTTTTGGGAACCACCAGAATTTATTCCTGGAGGTATTGCACTCGGACATTGTAAAAAAAAAAAAAAAATATTATTGATTAAGGAATCATTAAAATCAGACAAATATAAGATCAAAAATTTTTTTTTAAACAAGACAATGATAAGAAACATAAATCCATAAGAAATAAAGAAAGGATATGAAGTACAACACAGTTTAACTTTGGATCATAGGCATAAATCTGACCCTCATACTCGTCATCAGTCGAAGTTTTCACTCGAATGGAAAGTCCAAGCATCCATTCCAGTCCTTTTTGCTGTTGAGAATCTTTGTTATCTACAACAGAACCATTACTATTAGCGTTTGTGACGGAGTTAGTATTATTATTGGGGTTATTAGAATTGACGCGTTGACTGACATTGTCAGATGGAGTGCGAGTTGGGGCGTGAACATTATGAGGTTTAGAGCGTTGCTGTTGCATATCGGCTTACTCTGTTGCGGTTAATTGGGTAAGTAAAGTGAGTGTTGTTAATTAGTGATTTAGTCACTACTTTTAGTTTTTTTTTTTTTTTTATATATATATTTAGTCTTGCTTTTTCGAATTTGAAAAAGCCACAAATGAAAGTTTAATAGTTTTAATGAAGTAAAAAAAAAAACGGTAATGACAAATATGACAGAACCAAGTCGTACAGTAACAACTCACGTGATTCAATTGTTTTACTTAAAAAAAAAAAAAAATCGCGAACACACAAATGAATATTAAATTTATATATGTTACAAAAAAGAAAACTAATTACATGAATGCTTAAGGTTTATCCTAACACTATTGATTACAAATGTCTTTTTCCTCGCTTAATTAAAATTTAGTTTTGAATAAACCATATCTTTATCTATCAAAGTATGTAAATGCGCAAAATATATTACAATTGAATAAAATTGTTACGCGTCACTAAGACAGCACCAAAAAATATTAGATCAGATCAATTAATCGATGCATTTCTTTTTTCTTTTTTTTTTTTTTTTTTTCTTTAGATGAGTTGCTTACCTGATTATTTATAATTAATTGATTAAAATGCAAATTATGATGCTATGAGTTGAATTAGCGAAAACGAATAAAAAAAACAAATATTTATAGATGAAAGAAAATCGAATTAAGGAGAATTAAGGAGTGTAAAGGGAATTAGGGAAGAAGAAAGAGTAAGGGCCGATTTCAATAAAATCGAATTAAAAAAAATATTGTTCAGAATAGGGGGATAGTTCATTGCCAGGCCAAGAGTGGATATATGTAGAAAGTATATCACTCGAGTTTTAGATAGCATTGACGGAAGAATGAATCTTGCATATATTCATATTCTATTGTATGGAACATCTCTTTTTTTTTTTATTACGCCGTCGTGTAGGAGATTGCCGGTTTATCTGGCGAACTAAATCATAAAAGACCTCATCTACGTGAATCCGATGTCTAGCAGAAGTTTCGTAAAAGGCAGTGTGACCCCAAGTTTGGGAAAGTGCAAGACCTTGCTTTCTGGTAACCATTCTATCTTTTTCAAGATCACATTTGTTACCAACCAATACCATTGGAACCTATAATTATGAATTTCAAGATAAATATTGGTCGTGTATACAATTATGTAAATTATGTAAATTATGTAAATTATGTAAATTACGTAAATTACGTAAATTACGTAAGTTGATTAAAATAAATATAATTAATTTACCGTATCAGAACCTTTTACTTTTATAATTTGTTCCCTTAACTCTGCTAACTCTTTTATTGTTGATTGTTCAGTAATTGAGAACATAAGGATGAAACCTTGTCCGTTTTTCATGTACAAATCTCTCATGGCAGCGAATTGTTCAGTTCCTGCCGTGTCTAATATCTCCAATACGCAGATTTGGTTATCAACTTCTATCTGCTTTTTATATGAATCCTCAATTGTTGGATCATAACGTTCAACAAACATGGATTGTACAAATTGAACGGTCTAAAACAAAAACATGAATTAAAAAAAAAATATAAAAAAATATTGAAAAGGTTAGAATTTTAGAATTTCGAAAATTATAATAAAATTCAAAACCGACAAAAAAAATACTAACCAACGCCGACTTGCCAACACCACCAGATCCTAAAACCACCAATTTGTATTCCCGCATCGCGGTCCCAGAAGCCTTCAAACCGAACCGGTTCCTTTTTGACGATGTGGGTCGGTATGTGGCTCCGTTCTGTTTCTTTTTCCTATCACAGAGGAACACTAAGGAAAAATGGTTAAGACCAAAGAAAAGAACAGGGGATATAAATACTGATAGTGATAGCTTGGCGTTGAAGTAAAACAAGGTTTTTACATCCAAATCAACAAGAATAAAATAAACGGAAAAAGAGGTATAAAATTAAAAAAAAAAAAGAGAGAAAAAAAAAAATTAAGTAAATATTAGCGAGATACAAACTTGTGTCTACTTGCGATTTTGGGGAAAATATTTCTTCAAAGTTGTACAATTCCCGCGTCTAAGGTATGACCAAACTATCACACGAAACTCGAATGCGTGAAAACAAAGTGACGAATAACCAAATTCGAATTAGCACGATTTAAGATTACAGGTTCTCGAACTAGATTCGAAAAAACGAATGAATAAAAATTTAAAAGAGGAGAATATACTTTATATAAAAAAATTCTCGAGGAATCAATTAAAGTATTATGAAGTGTTACAACCCATTTTTTTTTTTTTTTTTTTTTTTTTTTTTCTTACGAGAATGCTGATAAAGACAAAAAAATAAAAAATTAAATGCGAGAAGTGCGTTGTGGCTTCTTAGTTAATTTCAGAAATAGGAAAAAGATTTACATAGTACCCCCGAAGATCGTCATTAACTAATTTTTCGAGCAATGCGTTTCGAAGATTTTTTTTTCTCGACTTTCTGCTTTGAAAATTTTACAGTTCGTTAATTGGATAAATCACTCGGAAATTAGTATTAGAACAATGAATTGCCTAGAACACGTGCATATAAATTATTCGGAAATCGCCGGCTTTGAATACGGATCTAGATTCAAAAAAGTATTGATAATTATTCCATAAATATAAATTTAATGCATTATTTATTATTATACATGTGTACTAAGAAAAATAGAATATCTGACTAACTAAACATATTTAGAGTTTGTATACAAAAAAAAAATAATTCTTTTTTTATACTATGGAAAAATCAAATCCTGTGACGCCTAATTATCGCATTGTTTCACATGTCTATAATTGTAAAGATTAAATTGATGTCGATTGAGTATCACGTAGTTGAACGAAAGTATAAATTTCATAGTACAAATCATACAATCATAGTATAAATCATTTAAATCATGTGAACTTGAACGATCCAAATTTAACAATTCATTTGATTATATTTCGTATCATGGTACACTACTTTTTTTTTTCTTATCTACATGTAAATTATATGAGAAAAAAAGAATTACGTATTGAATGTTTCACGTTTCCGAATGCAATAAGAATATTAGCATTAAATGTAAAAACTAATAATATCGACGGATGCTAGTCTTTATATACACTAAGAAATGTGCTTATAATGACATAAATGTTGTTAGCACAGTTCTTTGATAATTTATAATGCAGTAATGCAGTGATGTAAATATCATATGTTTTACTTTTTTTGGCACGGGGGTAATTTTAAGAGTGCTTACTGTAAATCAATGAAATGCCTTGTAAAGTTAATTTTTTCATTTATGAATCACGGGGTAAATGTCAGAAACTTAATTCCGTAATTAATTACATACTGTATAATCGAAAATTGGTTACTTTTCCCCCCTGCCGGAGATCGGTTACAATTTGAATTAAACCGGGTTGAGTTTAAACCGAAAACTTAGTTTTTATTGGTATGTCTGCAAGTATTTTAATTAAAAATCAAATAAATTTAATCCCCTTTTCATACTGTACATCAAAATATCGATAAAAATAAATAATTTTAATTTTGGAAACCGGATACCTGAAATTAGAATATCTATATATTACAGTATATATTACAGTATATATTATACAGTATATATTACAATATATATATGCTATATAATACCGTGCTATATTACTGTATGTAATATAGCATATATATACTGTAATATAGTACTGCTGTACTGTACTATATTACAGTATTACAAAAATCTATTTAACTCAAAATTTAAAGTTTAATATTAACCGGTTCCGACAAAATGTACAAAATTTGAATAACTTTAATAAAACAAGAATTTCAGATTATCAAAAAAAACCCCCCGTTATCGTTATCATTATGCATAATAAATCATGAAAAACACTGATACTTATCAACTGACTAACCAATTTCTCCAGGGTGCGTCTAATTATATAAATTCTTACATTATGTCTGTCACTGGAATGATTTTCTAGATGTAATATATCTTTTTATTAATATTCAATTTTCGAGCTGGTAATATCATCACTGGAAATTAGCACGCTTCTGCAATAAACAAACTGAAGGGACTTACATAACGATATAAATTCGAGTTACTATGAGTTACTTTAAATGATGGTCTTATTTGAATACATACGGTTGAATAAAAAAAAAGAAAACTTAATATATATTATATATATAGTATTAATATAACGATAATACGTAAAAAAAATATAACAGATAAATAAAGTTAGTATAATTTTTTTATTTGCAGAATGCCTGTAATACCTCAAATATACTTAGGGATGTTAAGTAGTCGGACTATTTCAGTTTTTACAGTACAATTTATATGTAACCAGCTAGTTCGACTATGTTG